TTTTCGCCATATATCCAAGGCACATTCCAGCGTGTCCCAACAATTGCATGTCACAGGCGCCTCCCGCCATTCGAAAGCTTCTTCTCGTCACAGCCAAGCATCTCGGGCCTCAAGGGCAGAGAGCATTGCCACCCAACTCGCACAAGCACAAGTCAATACCGCAAGGGCTGAAGCTGCTGCACAAGCAGCAGCAGTAGAAAAACAGCAGAAGGAGGAAATGGCAAAAGCGGAGACTGCAGCAGCTCTACGTGTGGTAGAGGCTGAACAACGACAAAGGGAAGATGTAGCCAAAGTGCAAGCTGCATCAGCTCGTCGTGTGGAAGAGGCACAGCATCAGCAGAGGGAAGACATGGTCAAAGATCATGCCAACCTCGAGATGTCCCGACGCCAACAGGAAGCAAAAGAGGCAGCCATATTACAAGCGGCTCTCCAAAGAGAGCTAAAAGAAGCTACATCTACAAACAGGTTGGAATGGCTAGGAAGGGAAAACCCTCACAGTCGTGTACAGGCCTATGTGGACAACCAAAGCGCATTCCAGCATAAGCAGGTGAGAGCGCCACAGCCAGCCACAAACCCCCCAAGACCAAGTAGACGAACAGAAGAATCTCAACGACCAGATACGCCGGTCGGCCACAGAGTTGATGTCGTGACACTTAGGTCACGAGATCTTCCCATCGTCGCTATCCCATTGAACCCACTGATCCATACCCTTGAGGGCAACCAGATGGGTCCACCAGCAGCGGCAACAGCTACACAGCAGGCAGTGCCACAAGAACTTTCCGCTGTTGTTGCCCCACGGAACCCGCTGAACCATACCACTGATGGCAATTGGATGGGTCCACCTGCAGCGCCAACGGCCCCACAGCAGAACCAGCCATTGCTCGGGGATGAGATTGAAAGAACTCGAGCCACACTAGAGTCCCTGCTGCACCAACAGGAGGCAGCGTCCCAAGGAACCACCACCAGACCTAACCACAGAGGAGAGTCTCGAACACCAGCCATGCCAACCTACCAGGGGGCTAGCTACACTCTACCAGAAAATTTGGCTCCATTGAGAGTAGACGCCCCCAACCCCTTTGCTTACCATGGAATGGTCAGCGATCCAACAAGCTCCTCAACTGCCATTAAAATGGAACTCAGATGGGCCATAGTAGGGACGGTTTGTGTTGATCAATCGCAAACCCCAAGCCAGGAGAGCATCTCAAAAATCTCCATTCCCAGTAATGGAACAGCAGCTCACCTAAAACCACACCTAGAACACTGCACGCTTGTGACAACCAAACCTGTTTTGGAAGCAACTGTTCCAGACAAGCAAGACTCACACACTTAGCCTTGTCCACAGAGGACAAGCCAGATAAACAACGTCTGCAGCTACGCGCATTCTCCCTGAACACCTCACACTGGGATAAGCTGCGTCTGCCAGAACAGAAACAAGACTGGGAGTCATGGAGTGTACTCCCAAGATGTACGTCCACGTGTCACCTATCCTCCGCGAGCTGCACTGGCTTCCTGTGGGTCTCCGGACGCAATTCAAGGTGTTGGTTATCACCTTCAAAGCCCTTCGTGGCATAGGGCCAGGTTACTTACAGGACCGCATTCTGCCGCACAGCTCCCAGAGACCGGTGAGGTCCCATAGATTGGGCCTCCTTCAGGTCCCGTCGGCCAGACAATGTCGTCTGGCGGGCCCCCGGGGAAGGGCCTTTTCTGTGGTGGCTCCGACCTGGTGGAATCAACTTCCCCCCGAGGTTCGAACTACTCCCACCCTGCCGGCCTTTAAGAAAGCTGTTAAAACTCTCCTGTTCCGGCAGGCCTGGGGCTGATGTCCCCGGGGGGGGGGCGGGATATGATCGGACTCGCGGTATGACTGTATTATTTTATTGTTTTATGACTGTTTTAACTTTGTACGCCGCCCTGAGTCCTTTGGGATTGGGCGGCATATAAATATTTGTAAATAAAAAAATAAAAATAAAATAAATGTCTCTAGAGTATGCAAGTGCAGCGCACGTATGTCTCCAGCTCACCCGCCACCGTACAAAAGAAAGAATTGTACGCTTCCTTAGATGTGTCTACGAAGGTAAATGCAGCCATAAGATATGTCACAGTCCACAGCGGGGAGAGCTGCAGTCACACTTACGTCGTCTTGTTTGCAACCATAAGATACATCAGAGTCTACAGCGGGGAGAGCTGCAGTCTCGGTGTCTTCTTTGGAAAAGCGAGACTAACAATGCAAGAAGGCTACACCATACCAAGATTAGAGCTATGTGGTACCACTTTGGCTGTAAGCTCACCAACTCGACAGCAAAGATGTTGTGCCTTGAACTACAGTTTACCACCTTCTACGCAGACAGCAAGGTGATGTCAAGCTACATCTGCAAACAAAGCAGACATTTCTACATCTATGTAGGCAACAGAGTGAAAAGGATTGAAACATCTTTAAGCCCTGAACAGTGGCAACATGTGCCAACAAATAAGAACTTTATTAACCAAGTGAAGTGGCCCAACCTTGCCACACAGTTAACAGAATTGATCTGGCTAGAAAGTCTTGAGTTCTTGGCCTGTCCAAACAGACAGATGCCACATAGACCAAAACGTTATGCACTTCCAGCTTCAGATCAAAGTGCCAACCTTCAACCTCAGACACCCAGTAAAAGTCAACCAATCCTCTTCAAAACCCTGTCTAAACGGAGACACCTGAAATTAGGCATAGTTTTGATCATCTTGATCACTTGTCTCAGCACCCCAAGAATTAGCCTTGTAGGAGCCTGCAAGGACTTACTGACTATTGAAGATATTTGTCATGATCCGATGATTGTCAAATGTCTGAAGGCCAAAAATTGCCTTCCCCATGCATCTCACACGGGTGAAACGTGCATAGCCGAAGCGTGGGAGCACATGATTGGTGCATCCCGCGAAATCATGGACTCTATATCGTTAAACACACCCACACCCACACATGAAATCCTCACTACCCTGATGACAATAGTAGCAGCCGTCTTCAATACTCCATCGGTGGTGCCAGACTCTTCGGTTTTTGAATATCCTGAGTCTTCTGCAGCTGCTGTTGTTCCTGATCCTTCAGTTCCAGCTGTTATTCCTGATTCTTCAGTTCCAGCTGTTGTTCCTGATTCTTCAGTTCCGGCTGTTCCTGAGTTTCCAGTTCCAGCTGTTCCTGAGTTTCCAGATGTTCCTGATCCTGATTCTTCAGCCCCAGCTGTTCCTGTGTTTCCAGATCCAGCTGTTCATGTTTTTCCAGGTTCTTCAATTCCTGTGTATCCTGTGAATCCAGTTCCCCTTGTTCCTGAGAAACTTTGGGTTCCAGTTTTTCTGTTCCAGATTTGGTTCCAGTTTCTTTTACAGGAAGAAGACTTTGTCTTTCTGAGAGACAAGTATGCATACCAGAACTATTGGCCCATGGGACTTACGCACCGGGCCCACCCAGTTGATGAACTAGTTTGCCAAGCTGCGGTCCAGATTGTGAAGCTACGCGAGTCAGGTCATCACTCAAAGACTCTTGTACCAGGCTTATCACCGATTTGATCCCGTTGTTGATGAAGCCTGAACCAGAAGATTAAACCTCAAATTATGTATTGTCTTTATGCATTGTTTGATGTAACACTTGCTTGATTTTTTTTTTTTGCATAATTGCGCATGTTTTATATTTACTTTATAGTTATGCATGTTTCATACCAAGTTTTCACCTATTTAGTCACAAGCTACTTAACATTGAGTACTGTATGCCTTAATGCTATGTTTTTTGCTCTTTCAGTTAGTTAATAGTGGAAATATAAATTTCTAAGTGGGGAGTGTTCTGGGTCATATAGCTCTATGTAACCTCGTATAGCTCTATGTTACCTTGTATAGCTCTATGTAACCCTAACTAGAGAGCATGTATCAGTATATTAGAATATCTGGCAGTTATTGGGTTAAGTGCTGGTTTGTTAATGGGTCAGTGGGAGGAGTTTCCAAAGGGCATTGGGAGACTTCCTGGACACAAGCCACTTGGGGAATGCCTTTGTTCATCCAGCCTCATGGCCCCTAGCCACACGGCTTGGAGATCTCATGCTTATGCCAACATGTGATACTTATGCAGAAGAAGAGGGAAAATCCATTATCAATTTGCCTATGGAAATGAACAGAGAGATGTAATATACAGAAGTAACATTGTAAAAGCAAGTATTTACTCTGAATAAACATTTATCTGTTTTATAATTATTTCTATTGAGTTGTCTATCTGCCTTAGATTGAACACAGAAGCAAGTTGTTCTGTCTGGGTAGAATAAGTCTATATTTTCATGAGAGTTTTGTTATATTACAGGTATGTTGCCAGATCCTAGGAACACTCATATTGTGATAAGCTGGATGATTGCCCAAACAGTGACTGCAGTAGCTGGTGTGGTCTCCTATCCCTTTGACACAGTGCGACGTCGAATGATGATGCAGTCTGGTCGTAAAGCAGGTAAATAGAACTTGCTTATAAACTTTGAAGCAGGATGTGTTTTTTTTTTCATTGATGTATTTTGTGCTCTGTTTAAATATAAAGCCTTGCTACTTCATTCACAGTTGATGTTATTGGTTAAGACTTAAGTATTTATCTGAATAAGTCATTCAGTGCTAGCAGCTTGACAGAATCATGTCTTGAGTTGTATTGCACTACAGATGTGGTCTATTCTTGTAAATGGAATTGGTGGTTATGTTATTAAACTATGAATTCTGGGTAGCTTCCTTATTTCTTCTGATTTTCTTGCTATGTTTGTACCTAAGTAATTCAAAAAAATTGATTTATTTTCTCCACAGCTGACATTATGTACTCTGGAACAATGGACTGTTGGAGGAAGATTGCAAGAGATGAAGGTGGAAAGGCTTTCTTCAAAGGCGCATGGTCTAATGTTCTTCGAGGCATGGGTGGTGCATTTGTGCTTGTGTTGTATGATGAGTTCAAGAAAGTCATTTAAACAAAAAATTTTTAGAAATGTAAGTTAAATTGATGGATCATGTAGAATAACTTGCCATTATGGACCACTGACTTAAAAAAAATTCCTACTCAGTCTTATGTATCGGGGCCAGATCATGTTTAAGTAGGACTACAAACTGCCTTCTGTGAACTGATGTACATTATATATAGGCATCAGAACAGATAGTCCAGAATCGTCTGTCTTTGGTGTTGGTTATAGTAGGTACAGTTCAGGGTCCAAGGAAGCTGATCTGCTTTTGTCTGAAGATCAGCTATAAGTTTCAAGTCCTGTCTTAAAAGAACCATAAAAATCATGTTTTGAAAAATATTCATTTAGCCAATCTTGTTTTTCCACTTGTACTTAAACACTATGTACTGTTTTTGCACAGCTGAACATCTAGCATTTGTGTTCTCCAATTTGGGGCATTTTGTGAACAATAAACATAATTAACTATGTGTTGAATTTATGACTACTACATCTTGAGTTTTATGGCCAGCCTCACCATGCAGTAAGATGTGGTTTACTGGCCTCAGGCAGCATTTATGCATGTGCATATCCATCTGCACAAAAAGGGGGAGTGGAACAAAGTAAGGAAAGAACTAGTATGGCAAGACTTTTTAAAAAGCTGTCCCGTGGTGTGTGTTGGGGCAGAGTACTATAGTTGGATTCTTAGACTGGATTTAAAGGCTCTTTAAATAAGATATGCTTATATAGGCCTTCAGAAGTTTTCATCATGTTTTTATGAAAATGGTAAAATAGTTTGAAATAGGAACCCATTCTGAATATGGAGAAAAAAGCTTGAAAATAATAATGCAATGGTTAAGCAGTGTGCATATAGGGATGCTAATAATTATAGTTCACCTAAGAATAAGTAGGAAGTAGGGCTATGGGGAAAATATAATATACATGCTTTGTAAAGAAGCACATGTACGTAGCATTAGATGAATCAGCTGTATGAGTTTTTAATTATTTGAAGAAAGATATCTTACTCATGTGCCCACATGGCAAGATTCTCATTTGTATGCTTTTACACTGTCGTGTTGAAAAACAAATAACTATTAGGAGTGTTTGTATTGGTATTGATGTTTAGAGTATTGAATAAAAAATTAAATATGACATCAGAGAAAATTAGAATTTTCTACTAATTTAGATTAGTAGGTTTAAAGGTAGATGGTACAATGAGAGAATTTGACTTTCCAGCTCTAGTATTATTTTGAATGAAGGCCAGATGTTCTTTGGACCAAACAATCATTAAGGGAAGGTACAATATATATAGGCATCAGAACAGATAGTCAATTGGAAAACCTGTTTTATTTAGTACTGATGCATCACGCAGAAGCTGCACCCACCCCAGCTCCAGCAAGGAGAAAAAGTGATATGTTGTGTCACGTGACATGGCGTTTGACATTCTTATCCTAGACTATTATTGGCAATTTATTTAAAAATGTGTTATTTAATACTGATGTTGTTGCTATATATATGTATGTATGTATGTATGTATGTATGTATGTATGTATGTATGTATGTATGTATCGTGCCACCCTTGGATAAGCCAAGTAAAAAACAAATGTTATTTAAAATATGAAAACAAAAACATTGAAAAAAATGAGTTAGTTTATCCATGAATGGCCTTATCTATGAATATATATTGTACCTTCCCTTAATGATTGTTTGGTCCAAAGTACTATCAGAATTTGCTTGTGCAAATTCTCCCACATTCAGCTTTTGTTTTTTCTACAACAGTTTCTTTGGAAGTTGGGATTCAAGGCTTTTAGAGAATAGAGGAAAAGCTTATTTCTTTTGTTAAGAGGCATTTCATCTTCCCAGTATTCCAAAAGTGGGGAATAATTATTCAGTGTTTTTCCTTTTAATCAAATGTCTGAAGGTGTCTAACAATAACAAGGGAGAAACCCTCTGTGACTCAAAGAATGGTAGAAATCCATTCAATATACTCTTATGTGTTGACTATACTGTATACCCTGATCCATACAACAGGAATGAACAACAGATTTATCCCCGTTTTTACACAAAAGAAATCTAGGCATCCACGGGGAAAATTAAAAAAAAAAACACAAAGCAAGTTGGTGAATGTAAACTCTGCCCTTTGTATATGCACAATGAATCTAGCCACACCTGGGCATTTGATGGCTCCTGGGCTACATCCAGCCCTTTGGCTGCCCTTGTCTGGACAACGTGGAATGCTTTTACTTTGAAGGCAACGTTTTAAATTCAATTTATGTATGTGTGTCTGTGCATGCCTACGCACCTACACATTCCTATTAGTTCCGCCCTCCACAACAGTCCCAGTTTGTCATGTGACACCTTGGGAAAATTAATTGTTCTAGTTCTTGCTTGACAGCCTCTAGTAACAGGTTATTATCTTGAATCCCACTGTCTGAATGCATACAAATGCATTCATATTTTGAAAGAAACAGATAAATCGTACACATACCTGTATAGACAGGTTTTCTTTTACTATTTTATTAGGGTAGGTTTTTTTTTTGTAGTGGGCAATGTCTCATACTTTTGGGGAGATGGCAGTCATTTCTTCAACCACTGTTATTGATTCACCTCCTATTGGTACTGGGGTCACCCATTTCTAAGAAAAGAAAATATCTTTGCATTAATTCCTAAAAGTCATGATTGTTTAATTTTCATTTCTACATCACAGCTCATTGCAAATACACATATCAAAACCCTTATTTTTTATTGCATATAAAGTAGTTCCAAGGATGATGGTGGTGAAGCTTTGGACTGGCACAGTGGAAGCCCAGGTTCTAGTCACCATGAAAACAGTGGATAAGTTGGGCTAGTCACTGTTGTGCCGCGGGAATACCGGTAGGAAGAGAGAACAGGGTGTGTGCCCCCTTGAAGTTTTTGCCATTTGCCAAAACTGAGATTGAGGACAAGACATTCTTCTTGGGGAGCAAGTCTATGGCCTTGGGCTATGCAGGAAAACTCTCCTGTTTACTAGTTTGTGGAACTAGTATATTTTCAAAATAACTTTTCTGTTAAGCTAGATTCATAATGGAAAAAGAAATTCTTCATAGATTTTGGTCCTTTGATCTGCTCCTGAATCATTTAGCATGCTAAAAGTTCATAGCTAGAAGTACATTTCTGTTCTTAATTTATACTGACACAAATAAAAAAATGACAACCAATTATTAACTTAGCATTAAAATTATAAAGTAGGTATGAAAGAGTTATTCATGTACATATAAAATACTTTACAGATCATTATATTTAGAAAATTTTGAACCCACCTCCACATTCTTTTCATGTTGCCACATTATATCTTTTGGTTGGGGGACTGGATCTGTCAGTTTTTCCCATATGTGGTTCCTATACAAAGAAAGATTTGGAGCATTATCCCAGATTCCTCTCTTGAAATAACTTGCTATATGTGCCTGAAAATGTGCAGCAGCGTTGACACAGCATACTTTTAAAATTTAGACTAGTAATTCTGTGTATTTAATTGCATCAATCCTACAGGGTCTGAGAGCAGAACAAAAAACACTACAAAAACCAGTAAGTGTATTGAGCCATATTTTACAAAACTAGATGCAGAAATAAACATAGGGTTCAGATAGATTAAAATAGAAAAGGCTTTCTTCTGAACCTTTATTTACCCAAACCAATTGTACCAAAGGAAAAGAAAGAATAAACAGGCAATATATTAATTTTAAAAAGGTATCTGAGGACAACAGCTAGGAGGAATTCTTACAGCAGGCAACTGGAGGACAAATTATTCTGAGAAAAAAAAAAGAAACAAGAAAAAGTAGAGAGAAATCACTGAAATAAAAATAAATAAAAAAACAGAAGATTCAATATCTGTTACAAAAACTGGTCTAATGCAGAAGATAGGTTTTTGTTAGAGCTATATCCATAGTGATCAGCAAAATGTACCTTGCCTTTTCTTTAGATTCTTTTGTTCTGCTCTTCTTATGAAGTAAATTTAACCTAATTATTGTGTAACAATGGTTGTATTCAATCTATTTTTATCGTTATGTCACATAAACAATTTTCTTTATTAAGGAAAGATACAAACTTAGTAAAGTTTGCATAGGTAAAAACATCTTTTATTCTTTACATCTTTCTCAATATCTGCATCTTTTCTAGTTCAGGGCTTTTCAACCTTTTCACCGATTGTACCACTTTTAGAATATGGCAATATTCAGGTACCACCAGTCACCTAGCAATGTGTCAAAAACTTGATGACCAAAAAAACAACAGAAAAAGGTGATAAAGTACAGGTAGCCCTCTCTCACCGCCTTTAATATCATCTCTTCCCTCACTCCCTTTAATATCATCTCTTCCCTCATCCCCTTTAATATCTCTTTCCCCACTCTCTTTAATATCATCTCTTCCCCCACCCCTTTAATATCATCTCTTCCCCCACCCCTTTAATATCATCTCTCCCCTTCAGCAGGACCCAGGCAATGCCTCTCGCAGCTCCAGCTGAATCTCTGTCTGAAGACTACGCAAGGCTGTCTGCCACCCCAATCAGCTGGAGCTGCACGCGCCAATCCTGGGCTCTCCACAGGACCCAGGGAATGAGTCACGCAGCTCCATCTGAATCTCCACCTGAAGACTGCGTGAGGCTGCCTGCCGCCTGCTGCTTCATCTCATCTACTTTTACACTTTTTTCTACATTTTTTTACAGTGCTGTTCAACCCGTCGTATGCGTACCACCTGCCAGGTGCCAACGTACCACTAGTGGTACGTGTACCACCAGTTGAAAAGCCCTGGTCTAGTTGACTGTTATGCTGATGAAGTACTGTTTTGCACTTGAATTTTTAAAGGGCTAGTTTTATCAACTGCTAGGACAAAAGTGAAAGCTGTTTTCTGTGTCTTCGTAACAATGAAAAATTATTAAATTTTACCTTTTACAAATCAAAGTCAAGAGCATAATTATTAGCATGGTTCCAAGTGCAGCAAAGACTAAAGGCAGTGTAGGAAATGTATCAGGATCAGTACCTGAAACAATAGCAGGGTTTAGTATTCTTACACTGATTTACATAAAGAGATATTCAGACACACAAAATTACAATGAAGAAGCAGCCCTTTCTTTTGGTAGGGAAAAAAAGAAAAAGCCAACAGAAACCTTTGACCCTAAATGTATCATTATTTTAATATGATAGTTAATGAAATAATTTTTAATATAGCTATATATAAATATAGTATTAGCAGGAAAAGAAAACAAATTGAACAAATACAGATTTGTACATTTCTCTTTAGGAAATCATGTACATATTGGCCGCTAATTTTTTTTAGAAGAGCAAAATTAGGTGCTCATCTAACAAAGGCAAGTGAACACTAAAAAGAATTACAAATGTATTCATTTTCATGTTTTCAGCCAAGCTGTATCAGATATTTCATAGGAAATTTCTCATTAAAATGATCCTTCAGTGGAGAAAATAAATTTAGCTCTTCAAATCTGCTGTGAACTTGGGGGTGGCAGCAGATTTTGGAGAAGGGAATGCTTTAAATTTTGTTTTGAAACTGGCTTTAGCAGTAATATAATCTAGATTGGTTTTTCTCCCTCCGTTTTTAGCAATCCAATCACCTTGTCTCAAACTCAAAGCATCATTAAAACTTAAGAGAAAAACTAATAATCCAAAAGGAGAATTTTGAAATTAGAGCTTTCTTATTTAATCGTTCTGGGAGTTGAAGTCAACAAGTCATAAAAGGGCCATAGTTCTCCATCTCTGGCTAGCTGGTGACTTTCAATGTGGATGTCATTTTGGATCTATGAAAACGGCAAAACCAATCTTGTTGTTCTGCTACCATCAAAGAATGTAAAAAGTATTTTTAAAAATGAATCTTTGACTTTCACATCCATTATCTTCAGAATAAAGTTGATAAGGAATTGGGAATATTCGTGAAGGGAGGAAGAGTAATTTGATTTTATTGAGATAATTAGTATTTAAAAATAAAATAATTTTATTATTGTTTATTATGATGAGATACAGCAAATATCTCTTTGGCATTAGAAGTGATTATCATATGAATGAACAAAATAACATTACATCACAAACTAAAGATGCCAGAAACAAATGGAATGTCATGGTTTTCATATTTTTCTGTTATTTTGTCTCTGTGCGTATGTGCACATTCAAGCTCATATTATACTGGTCATTAGATTTCATTTTTAAAGTTAATTTTAATTTTTTCAAAAGGAGTTAGGGGTCCAAATTTTATTATACCATATTTCAAATGATAACACTACTAATCTTTACCAGAATTTACCAATCACTATTTTAACTATATACTGTATTATATTTGATGTCTTTGAGTCAATCTCAACTCCAGGCAACTGCCTGAACATGTCCCTGCAGTTTTCTTGACGAGATTTTGGAAGTGATTTGCTGTTGCCTTGCTGGCTTTGTGCCTAAAGTGAGAAAAAACTTACAATCTCTTGGTTTCTAGCCTAGTGCCTTAACCAGTGTACCAAACTGGGTCTCTATACTGTACATGCTGATAATAAGAGTGTAATCATAGTTCCAATGTGTTTCAGTGGTATATTCAAGAAATAGATTTAACCATGCTAATTGTGCATTTATAACAATCTTTGGTTTTGTGATAGCATTGGTTCTTACAAATATATCGCTTTACAATTATCTTGCCACCACAGATACTATAGGTACTATTCACCTATTCTTGCTCCAATGTTTTGGTGAAAAATATTTGTCAGATGTGTCAGTTTTACTATGAACGAGCATCTATGAAATATCTGTTATGAATTAATTTCAAATTAGTCCCAATGGTTTATGCCAGTATGGATTTATTTGTTTCCAATTCTATTCAAATATCAGTGTCAGGAGCAAATAACCAGGAGTGTTTGTTAAGTTCACAGCACTAGTCTTTGTCAACTAACGTTCAGTGTTAAGTTGGCACTAGATAAGGGTCAATGGAATTCATGAGGGACTGGAATTGGATCTTTTGTGGCAACACAAGGACTACATACTATGACGTGTTTACTCTGCCTTCCAGCTGTGCCTTCTCTTCTCCTACAATCACATTCTGTAACCCAGTTAAGATATAATAATCTAAATCTAAATTTAATAAGCTATTATACATTTTAGTTATATGGTATTTTGAGTCTCCCAAATCAAGTATTAATTTTCACATTCTATTAATATCTTATGTATTTTAACATCTTAGTGAAACACAATAATAATTGTTACCAAATGACCCATGGTAGTGGAATAGGCTGTTACCATGTTTTAATTTTTTGACTTTAAATTGGAATTTTATTCACATAAACATATTTAAACTGTAATAACTTATTTATTACAATTCTTCAATATAGTAGCAGAAATAGGATTTTTTATGTTTGGAGAATTTAAATTTATTATATCTACTCTAAGATTGCTTGCATTAAAAGTAGAATTCACAGTCTGAGACTCTAAAAACTTTGAGTTAGGTCCCAGAATTTTTAAAAATCTTGTTACCAAAGTATTTTGGAGAATTAACTAAATATATTAATATTATCTTATTTTTCAATAATCATTTTGATAGTAGGAAGCTCTTAACCACCAGCTGACTATTAGAAGGAATGTTAGCATCAAGTAGGAAAAATAATTAAGGAAAAAATAAAATTACCAAACTCAATAGGTTCGCTCCATTCTCCATTCATTTCTTTTGAAATTGTACACACAGTGTGTCCAATTGTGCGAATTCTCAAGATATATTTTGCAGGCTTTGCAAAATTGAAGTATGTTTTTCCTGTTACCTAAAAACAAAATATTTATCTATTTAAATTTTTGCTTGATGAAATAATGTTCAATATAAAAATATACTTTATCTTGAATCAATCACGTTATAGTTATTGTTTTGCTTATTAATGAAAAGAATTATTGTAAAAACTAATTGTTTAATTTCAAACCTTGCTTCCATTTCCTTGTGGCTGTGCAATATTTTTTTAAAATTGAATTATGCAAAGAAAACAAACTGTTCTTTACTTCTGCTATTGAATTTTAGAATATGAGATTAAAAACTTTCATCTCTGTAGATTCTTGATATCACAAGAAAAAAATTAACAACTGCCCTGTTTGTGCCCCTTATGCAAGAAAAGATGAAGGAATAGCATTATTACTTTGACTTATCAGAGTCAGTTTTGTACTCTGATAAGTCCTGTGGTCTAAGATTAGTGCATTCTGGAGAATTTGTTAAAAATTATCACAGTTCCACTTGGACAAAATGCAAGGGTTTTCTGTTTTGCTCCCAATTGATCGGACAAAAAGTAAACTCAGTATTCATCTCCAAAATCAATCAATAAACCAACAGTTAAAGTATAGATTTAGAAGGTGTCTAAATATCTTCAATCTTCCAGGTTTAAGGTACAAATTTTCCTAATTTAACAGTGCACATTCATATATTCCCAGAAATGCCATACAAACAAGGAAGGACACTTCATTGCTGTGCCTGTGGAGAACACTTTTTTTTAAAAAAAACTGAGTGTAGAAGACTCTGAATTACTTACAAAATTTAGAAGTCCAGCACCTAAGTGGCCTGATGGTTGCTTTTTATACTATATATGATTTTCTTGGATTAAACTTGATTCCTTCTGTATGAAGAGCATAATATCTGTTTTTCTGTATGAAGAAAATAACTGATCTTGAACTATAAGGTGACCAACCATCCTCCTTTAGGGAGACAGTCCTCCTTTTGTAAGTTCTGTCCTCCCTCAAAAAGTGTCCTCCTACATGTCCTCCTTTTTGATAGTTGAAGACTAATCTGTAGGGCTTTTTTTTTCTCATAGAACGCTTAGAATGGCATTCCGGCACCATTTTTTGATGGTTTTTTTTTCAACTTTTGCATGTGCTGTGCTACTCCCACTATTGGCATTTGAAAGCCAATAGGAATTGCTGCTGAGCGTGCCAAAACACCCAGTCGGCAAACTTTGCACATGCAAGTTGTCTGTATTATTGTTGCAATGAATAAAATGTTTCTTTTATTTGCGATATTTTTTTCTTCAATTTATTTGTGTCCTCCTTTTCATTGTAAAAATGTTGGTCACCTTATGAACTATATATCACTGTGACCACCTAATTTTAAGACCTGGATGTCAATTTCTCCCTTCCTTAGCAGCAGTTTCCAATGCCTACTTTTATTTATAAAAATATTTCTGATGAAGAATGGAATTCTGCCCAACTATCAATTTATTCCTGTGTCTCTTCATATTTAGAGCTCCTGGAAAAATTTTCAGTTTTGGATCCAATCTGAATAGTAATAGCTAATCTAGACAGAATGAGATGATGAAACAAATGGCAATTTATTACATGACAACACTTACATTCATGACTGTATTCCTGCATTCATCCTTGAAAATAAAGGGGGAAAATAAAATAGTTACTAGTATTGGTAATTTTGTCCTTTTCCAAACTGGAATACATTTCCCACAGTCAGTTGTTTATAATAATTATAATAATGGTCAAACAGTCTTCAGTGAAAAGAAGGTGTTGGGAAGGATACTGTTGGGACAGTATTTATTTACTGTCCCTTTAAACACTATTATTTATGTTACATTATAGGAAACATTTCTTTGGAGACATTCCTACATTGAATCTCTGAACCAATTATCATTCAATTTTGTCCTCATTTCTTACAAATATTGTATAGGTAATCTTTGACTTACAACAGTTCATTTAGTGACCATTAAAAGTTACAATACCTGTCAGAATCCAATTATATTTCATCTTTAATTATCAAATATAGAAACTCCCAATTCTGCCATCTCTGGATTCTGCCATAAGAGGGAGAGAAGGGGGAGAACAAAGGGGCTTTATGGCCCTCACTTCCTTCAGTACACTTCAAAGGGCTGAATGTTGAATGTGTGTTTATTGTAACCTCGAAGTGTTAGCATACCAAAGGAGAGTATTTGCCTTTCATGTAGTTATCTGAAGTCTCCATCCAGACGGAAGAAAGAAGAAAAGGGGTGGAATTGTGATACTTGAAACTATCACTGGAAGGGGGGTTGATTGGGTGGGACTACTGGGGAACCCCTTAAAACCTTGAATGGAAGAGCTTGAACCCCAAGTCCTGTCTAGCATGCCTGCAACCATTTTCTCTTAATAAAGGATTCCTGTTGGAAGAATTATTCCAAGAGTTCTGTCTTCTTAAGATGCAAAGTGGGGTGGGTCCTTACATTAGACAGGACTTGCAAAATTAATCCACCTGGAAGGGAGACCCTTGCCGGGGGATTTTGCAAAAATTTACCATGTCAGACAATGAAGCAAGAGAGGGGGAAAACTCCCTGGAAAGAGAGCCGCTGACCCAGTTGGAACCTTGCCAGATGTTGGAATCCGAGAGGCCAGATTCCTCAGGAGAAGAAGTGGTGGAGACACAGGACCACAAGCCTCGCTGGTCGATGGGCGTTGGAAAGAAAAGTGAGTGGGGAAAGGAATCAAGAAAGGTGACCCTGAGATGGGGGACCAAGCAACCAGAATGGAAGCAGGAGATGGAGAAATCCCTGCACGCAAGTGAAGAGGGAGGAAGCTGGGCACCGTACTCAGACTGGATCCTAGAGAAAGCTATTGACCTGATGAAGAGAACTCTCAGCTCCCTAGGAGAGGAGAATACTGAGCCCTACGGCCGCCCCAGTTCCTGGAGCCACAAAGGGAGAGACACCGAGGGGGACGTGGAACCTGCAACCCCAGGGACATCTACTGATCCAGGAGCCCCCACCCCCTACCGGACCACAGATGGCAATCTGGACGGAAGACACTACCACCCACAACGGAGGCACCGATCCATTCCAAGACGTCCACCGTTGGAGGTGAAATTCAAAGGGGAGCCAACACGCTTGGGGTTTTTCCTAACCCAAGTCCTCAGCTACATGGAGGAATATGGGCAGGACATTCCCAGCGACAAAGCCCGCATCCGGATCGTGCAATCTGCCCTGGATGGACCAGCTGCGGATTGGGTAGTGAACTTGCATGACTCCAATGCCCCAGAACTCAGTAACTTCAACCGTTTCATGTCCTCTTTGAGAAGACGATTTGAAGACCCCCTGGCTGATCGCAAAGCCCGTGAAAGAATAACAACGATGAGGCAGGGCAAACGCCCAGTGGCTGAGTATACACAAGAATTCCGGGCCATTGGCAGCAAACTGAATTGGCCAGAAGACATCCTCCTTGGCCATTTCAAAGACGGACTAAACTATGATCTATATGATGCTTGCCTGCCCCGAGGGGACCCACATCGACTTGAGGAATGGTACGTCTTGGCAGAGGAAGCAGAGATCGACATATTGAAGAGGCACCGCCGAAGAAAACAATGGAGCCGCCCCCCGCCTGAGCTGACACACCAACCGGTGAAATCATCGGATACAGCCAAGAAGCAAATGGGGTGTTTCAAGTGCGGAAGAGAAGGGCATCGAGCTGTAGAATGCCGCTCAAAGGCCCCCCAGCACAACCCAGACAGATCCCCAATCAACAAACCCAGAGAGTATTCAGCTAAGCCAAAAGAAACAGCCATGAGAATGATGGAAATTGCAGAAACCCCCACCTCTGCTCACCAAGGGGAAAGAACTCCAGCCTACACCACAGGGACGGTGGATGCCTCAGATGACAGCTCGGAGGGCGAACCCCTGGTAAGTGGATGCATCACACCCATCTTCAAAACAGTGACTATATTAATCCCCCCCATGCCCGAAGCTGTGAAGGTGAAAGCCTTAATAGACTCTGGCTGCACCCGCTGCCTTATTAGCCCAACACTAGTGGGGAATCTGGGCATCCCATCCAGGAGACTGGAACAACCAATCTCATTTGGCCAGCTAGATGGATCCATAGCAGGGGGGGTGCCAGCTACCCTAGCCACTCTGCCAATACACCTCTCCCTGGGCAACCATGAAGAGGACTTAACGTTTGTGGTGACCCCAGGTATGGAATGCCCAATGATTCTAGGGATGGAATGGTTGAAAAAATGGAACCCCTGGGTAAATTGGAGGACGACAGAAATCAAATTCCCGAAGGGGGACCCTATGGACTTAAAACCCCAAGGGAGGCTACCAGAATCAAGAATAGAAAAAGCATCCATAGGAGAGGAAAAAAGATTAACAGAAATACCAGAGGAATATAGGGACCTTGCTGAAGTCTTCAGTGAGGAGAGGGCGAATGAGCTTCCCCCCCCACCGACCCACAGACTGTACCATTGAATTCAAGCCTGGGGCAAAACTCCCGAAGCCCAGATTATACTCCATGAGCCCAAAGGAGAAGGAGGAAATGGAAAGATTTATAAAAAAAAACCTGGAGAGAGGTTTCATTGAGCCAGCCAAGCCTAAAGTGGCTGCCCCGGTCCTTTTTAGAGAGAAGAAGGATGGCTCTTTACGTTTATGCGTGGATTATAGGGCCCTGAATACAATCAGTGAAAGCAACCTATACCCGCTGCCCCTCATGAAAGACATGCTGTCACACCTATCGAAAGGGAAAATTTTTTCTAAACTAGACTTAAGGGAAGCTTACTATCGCGTGAGAATCAAGGAAGGGGACGAATGGAAGACTGCATTTAACTGCCCCATGGGGTGCTATCAATTCAAAGTCTTGCCATTTGGATTACAAGGGGGCCCTGCAGTCTTTATGCAATTAATCAATGACGTTCTAAGGGAGCACCTGTTTAAGGGGGTCCTTGTTTACTTGGACGACATTCTTATCTTTACTGAAACAAAAGAAGAACACGTCAAACTTGTCAGAGCGGTTTTAAAGAAGCTGCGAGCCGCTCACCTATATGCCAAACTCTCAAAATGCGAATTCCACCAGGAAAGGATAGACTACCTAGGCTATCGCATATCCCCACAGGGCATTGAAATGGACCCGGAGAAGGTCAAAGCAGTACTAAATTGGGCACCACCCCGCACAAGAAAGCAACTACAAAGTTTCCTGGGCTTTGCAAATTTTTACCGCCAATTCATCCCCTCATTTGCACAGATAGCCTTGCCCCTCACTAACTTACTAAAAACGAAGGGAACATCCTCAGTAAAACCTAGCCAGCCACTAACATGGACAATGGAGTGCCAAGCAGCGTTTGAGAGACTAAAGAGACTTTTTTCTGCCGAACCAGTACTAAGGCACCCAGACATGGACAAGCCCTTCATAATACAGGCAGATGCAAGTGATGTGGCAGTGGGGGCTGTGCTATTACAAGAAAATGATGATACAGTATTGCAACCCTGTGCATATACATCCAAGAAACTCACGGAAACAGAACAGCGCTGGCCCGTATGGGAGAAGGAGGCTTATGGGATACGTTGGGCATTACTCACGTGGCGACAGTTCCTGGAAGGCAACAAAATCCCCTTCCAGGTGTGGACTGATCACAAAAATTTAGAAGCCCTGAAAACTTCCAGGAAACTCAATCCCAAACAAGTCCGCTGGTCCCAGCATTTTCACCAATTCCAATTTAAGCTCAAACATTTACCAGGAAGAAAGAACTTCCTGGCAGATGCACTATCTCGCATGCCTCAATATAACAGCGCACGAACCACAGACTCTAGACCAATAATGGCAGAGTCACAACTGGCAGCACCAGTAACCACAAGAACCCAAGCCAAAATAAAACCACAACTGGACAGCCAAACTGGGATTGAATTCAGAAAAAGTTTGGAAACAGATGACTGGTTCCAGAAAAACAAAATGTGTGCACAATGAGAGACGGGTTGCCTTGGGTAGGGGAAAAGTTATATATACCAACAACTCAAAGACTAACTTTCATGCACCTTTGCCATGACACAAAATCAGCAGGGCATTTTGGATTTGTAAAAACTTTACACTTAATTAAACGGCAATTTTGGTGGCCATCAATAAAAAAGGACATAGAAAGTTAAGCTGTGTGCATGTTGTCGCCAGGGCTGTTACAACCAGTGGCAAGTCCCTCAGCCCCCTGGAGGGAAATAGCCATGGATTTTATAGTGGAATTGCCTGAAAGCAATGGGAATACTGTTATCTGGACAGTCACGGACCTATTTTCCAAACAGGTGCACTTTATCCCTTGCCAAAAAATTCCCACTGCAAAGGCCTTAGCAAAACTTTTCATCCAGCACATTTACAGATTGCACGGGGCACCCCAACGCATCATCTCTGATAGGGGAGTGCAATTTACGTCTGCATTTTGGAAGGAATTTTTATCCCTCTTAGGGACCACTCAGGGATTGACATCTAGCCACCACCCTCAAGGAGATGGACAAGCGGAACGCTGCCAGTCGGTACTTGAGCAATATTTGAGATGTTTTTTAAATTTCCAACAGAGTGATTGGACGGACTTACTCCTTTTGCAGAAGTTGCCTACAATAATGCAGTCCACTCCAGCACAGGCTACACTCCTTTT